GATAAACCAGTCACATGCTTAGAAAAGAGTGTCTGAGAACACTAGATTAAAGAAACACAAAAGAAAGTACTTGTTCAGCTTTTTGCAAAATAGTAGTTGGGTCGCCAATCTTCCTATTAAGTGTGGAGAAAGGTTTTTAAGTCTGGCAGATAGGAAGGGCATAGTGATCTACGATTAAGAATGTAAAAAAATGGTTTTCTCAAATTATTAGGGCTCAGTCGAAGTGTCACAGCTTTATTCTCTTTGTATTCCTGTCCTACTACATGTCATGATTTTGTAACTGATTTTCTACTCTAAATGTCTTGAAATATATTTTCTTCTCTCAGTGGAAATGGTCTTCCTGCCCTCCCAATTTAGAGCTCTGTGATATCATGGATGCCTAACATTACCCTCTGCATCACAAACATCCTCGCACACACTTCCAGTGCTGAGGAAGAGAAAGAGTATGTGTGTTCATGGTTTGTACTGGGCAGCACTATGCAGTCATATTTACATACCGGTACAACTGCTATAACAGGAAAGGAGAAGTAAGGCTGAAAATGGAGACCAATATTTATCTGACTGAGTATCTATTTTGGTAATCTTCTTAATAAGTAAATCACCAAGTCGATACACACCTCCTCCATTAATGCGAGACTTCAGTAGTATAATTCTAAATAAAAATTGTTTGCTTTGTTTCATTGTTTCTCCATCTCTCAGACAGATGTTGACAGTGATGAAGGAGCAGAGGCATGTTTATTCAAATACAATGGAGTTGCTCCAAGCTTAGGTATTTTAAAACCAGGGTACTTAGAACTAATAGGTCTATTGGGCATGTTGGGTATCTATTTACTGATTGTAACGTCATAGTGTTTTGGGGCACTAAATTTAACTTAAGTGCATTTTTCAGTTGCGCTAATGTTGTGCAACATAAAAACTTGCAACTACAACGGTTTTATTCTACAGGTTCTTGGCTTTCAGAAAATATATAATGTTTGGGAGTTTTAAGTAATTTTCAGGCTTAAAATGTGGATTGTAACATGTAAACAAAAAAACTAAAAAAAGGCCTAGGTCCTTAAGATGCTAATATCACTTTAACTTTACCCTGGTATTTGTCTGTTACAAATATTAAAGGCTGAAAATATAAATATGGTAATGCTAACAGCTTTCAGAATTTAATGTAAAGAAGAGAACTACTTCCTCCCAGACCCCAAATGTCTATGTGATATAATACAATTGCTGGAACTTTGTAGTATAGATGTTACATATAGTTTACCGCACATCCAGCGGGCTGACAGATTAGGGATGTTTGTTTTGGGCCAGCTTCGCCTAAACGAACTAAAGGTATACATTGTATACCCCGTGTATAAGACGACCCCCGATTTTCTATACAGAGCTCCCATCATGGGACATATATATAGCAATATCTAAATTGAGGGCAGGTATGCCTGGAGGTAGTCCATTTATTGTTAAAAGTGCCAGGACACACCAGCTCAATGACAACTCAATGGCTCCAGTGTGTCCCTGCACCAAATTGAGCAAGCAAATACAAAATTACAAGTGCTACAATCAACTTGTAACAAGCTTTTCAAAGTAATGTGCACATGGAAAAGGCACCTCACAGAAGAATACAAAACAAAACTTTCCCAGCACTTATACCAGCTGGCCAGCGTTAAAAAAAATCTGCACTGTTTTAGCAATTTGTGTTGAAATCGGAGGTTTTTCTTTAATGCGTTTGCAAATACACTGAGTGGCCAGATTATTATGACCACCCCATCAGTACTTCGTTGGGCCACGAGATAACTCCACGAGATGACTTTGTTGGGCCGCCTGGTGACTCCACGAGATGTTGAAAGGTGATGCGAGGAATCTGACACTGCACTGTTGCCCTTCTGTTTTCTTGTACCAGTCTTGCCACTCTCCGTTCTGTCCTAACATTGACTAGTCGCTGACGGCCACAATTCGCATGTTCAGGCCCAGATTTTCGGCTGACAGTCCAGTCTTTAAACACTTTAACAATGAGCCCCTCTTGAACATTTAACAAATTCTGCTGTTTTGCTGATACTCGCTCCATGGCTCGCGCCAACAATCATCCCACGTTCAAAGGCTGTTAAATTGCGTTGTTTCCCCGTATCTTCAGAAACAAATCACTTCTACTGTTGGGGTAAACAACCCGCTTCCCTATTTATAATGGTCTGGCCCTCTAGCAACTTCAGCGCCAAAGTATAGCTCATTATAGCTAATTTGCCGACAAACATCAGGTGGTCATAATAAACTGGCCACTCAGTGTATATGATTGTTAAGTCCTCTCTGTGAAGTGCGGTTCCCTAAATTTAGTCTAACAGAGATCGTATCTTGGGACGTATATAGCTATGAAAAACTGCCTGGAGGTAGAGGTCTGTTTTAAACAGTATAGCCAAGAAAATACATTTTAGGATCCTAGTACTAAACCGCCAGAGGCTGCAGAGAGACCACTGCTTTCTCACAAAGAGTAGGTGTCCTTCATCACTAGAATATACAGTATATATACAATAAAATAGAATGTTATGCTATATTCTGCATATTCCATCCCTGTGAACTTTAAATATCTACAGACCAATTCTCTATACCAAAAATACCTTAACCACGGGGTGTTCTGTGACAGGCTTCCAGTCTCCAAGACAACATCAGACTTGTAGAACCGCACACAGGGAAGTGACAAAGGATGTCATAACATACATAATTCACATGCTAAGTATTACTGTTATAGTGACAATGTATCCAGGTTGGGGATACTTTAAATGACAGCATCACCAAAAATTAGGGCTGTTACTGATTAAAATTTTCGTGTTAGATTAATCAAAACATTTTTAATCGATTCATTTCGATTAATTATAACGCACATACGGATCCAACTACATTGGCCTATACACATACAGCACAGCAATGAAGTAATAAAATGAATAGGATCACACTAATCCAGCACGTTATTAATCTCACGTGCCCCACTCAATATGGCCGCCGCTTGAGTGGGGCAACTCGTGTTGGATTAGTGTGATCCTAGTTTATTTTATTACTTCATTGCTGTGCTGTATGTGTATAGGCCAATGTCTTGGCTGGCACTCGTGCAGAACAAGTTTCTTGGGCAAACCTCTTAGTTGTAACAAAACTGGAAGTCAGGCGGTCGCAGAACTCGTTAAGTGTCGACAGATCACCGGTGATCGATCAAAAGTTCGAACTTATCGAGTTCTGGGACCGCCTGACTTCTGCTTTAGTTACAACTAAGAGGTTTAAACAAAAAAGTTCTTCTGCACGAGCGCCATCCGCGGCATTGCTCTATACACATACACCACAGCAATGAAGTAATAAAATGAACTAGGATCACAGTAATCCAGCACGTTATTAATCTGAGTTGCCCCACTCAAGCGGCGGCCATAGTTAGTGGGGCACCTGAGATAAATAACGTGCTGGATTACTGTGATCCTAGTTCATTTTAGTACTTTATTACTGTGGTGTATGTACAGTATATAGGGCAATGCCGCGGATGGCGCTCGTGCAGAAGAACTTTCTTGGCCAAACATCGTAGTTCTAAGGAAACCGGAAGTAAGGCGGTCCCAGAACTCGATAAGTTGGGACTGTCGATAGAACACCGGCCCAAGTGGCTCCGTCGGCTAACGAAGGGAAGGGGGGAGGAGTCCGGTGACGTCGATGTCCGTGATGTCACCGGATCTCCGACGGGACTCCCGTAAGACCCGGAAGCCGGCGGAGAGTTGAGCTTTCATTTTTGATCAAAAGAATTTTAATCGATCAAAAATTTAAAAATTTTAACGATTAATCGAGAAATTAATAGGTAATTTCCGCAGCCCTACCAAAAATAAAGTTGTCCCTTATGTAAACTTGTTTTTCTTTTGTTAACACTAACGTGAATATGCTTCTTAAAATAAACTTACAGAATGATATTATTTAAAAGGTTGGGTAGCTCAGTGTTTCTCAACTCAAGTTCCAGCATTTGCTTATTTCTGAAAAGGTAAATTATGTGTTCTCACTAGGCTTGGGTTATCTCACTAGGCTTGGGTTATAGTAATGTGTTGGGAAACTACAGATTAAAATGTCTTTCATTAGTGAAATAGGAAGTCAGCACTGATGCAAGATATCTACCTATCTATGTTGCCTTATGCCTTGCTATGTACTTTGTGCTTTATTGCTTTGGCAGCATTAGCCAGAATGAGCTGCATCTTCGTTGCAATTGTACAAGAAAGGCATTGGAAAACACAAAGGTGTTAAATGGGCCCAAAGGGTTACTTGAATAGCAGGAAAGCTTTGGCCTAGTACTATCATCATGTATGGTCTGTTGTATTCTGCCTGTCCAAAAAAAAAAGTCACACACTCTAATATTTTGTTAGACTGCCTTTAGATTTGATTATGGCACACATTTGCCGTGGCATCGTTTTGATAAGCTTATGCAATGTCATAACATTTATTTCTATCCAGAGTTGCATTCATTTTTCAACAAGATCTTGTAGTGATGATGGGAGAGTCGGACCACTGCGTAAAGTCTTCTCCAGCACATCCCAAAGATTCTCAATGGGGTTACAGTCTGAACTCTGTGGTGACCAATCCATGTGTGAAAATGATGTCTCATGTTCTCTGAACCATTCTCTAACAATTTGAGCCCAATGAATCCTGGCATTGCCATCTTGGAATATGCTGTACCATCAGAGAAGAAAAAAATCTATTGATAGAAAAACCTGCTCATTCCGTATATTCAGTTAGGCAGCTGACCCCATTTTTTAGGGCACATAACGTTGCTGAACCTAAACCTATTATCCAGTGGAAGGCGCTTACCTCTTTCTTTAGCTAAATCCAGGTGGTAACTTTTTTTCAACAGGCATTGTATATTGAAAAAATATTATGTTTTTCCTTTTTTTATCAGAAGTATTTAGTATAATGATGAAGATTGTACTGCAAGACAACATGGGAATACGTCTGCGCATTGAATATATGTAACATTATTTCAATGTATTTTCTTTTTCCTTTTATAGCTTATACTATTCAAATTACCATCCGGTACGGGCAGTCCAAATGATGAGAGTAGGCAAATTACAGCTTCACCAAGGAATGTTTTCCCTAGCCAAGGAAACATTGAAGCAGGTCAGTATGATTTTAGACTTTTTCTATTTTACTTTTTTATGTAGTGTTTGGTCTTTTACATTATGCACTATTGCTGGTAATACAGCTCCTGCCTTTACTTTCTGTGACACATTTAGTAGTCATAAATAGCATCATTAGCCTAGCCTTATGTTTGTACACATCCCAGAAATTGTGATCATTCATTCAAGAGCAGATGACATTTCTTCTTCTTCTAAACTAGATCATGTGTCATTTAATTTAATGTTATACTTCCTTTACCACAAACGGCCTTATATCACCTTGTTTTACACGGTTAAGATCTAGTCCGGCCCAGCTTCTAGATCCCAGAATGGGTTTTTTGGGTGCCCAGATAGTAGGATACCCTGTACAGTACCTTTAACTGAGTACAATGCAAAATTCCTTTAAAGAATACATCAACACTTGACATTATGACTTGCCATAAAATGTTTAGCATGCTAACAGTATCATGTTGGTTTTAGATTAAGTGCCATTCCTTAGGTCTTAAAATGATTACACATTTTTTCATGAAACATTATTAATTTTTTATAGCATGCATTACCTGCATACTTAAAAGAAAGAAGGACTGTTAAAAAATGGAACAATACTCACAGCGCTTTATAATTAAACCCTTGTTCCATTGAACATTATCCAATCCCATCAGACTCCTGTAACTACATGGCAGACCCAGGGCCAGTAAAAAGCATCAACCATTCATGGTGTGACCACAGTTATGTGGTTGATTTACACCTCACCCTGTTCTGCTAACACACACTCTCCAAACTCTGCTCCTACAGGTTCTCTAACGCGCGTGCAACGCGCGTTTCTAATGTAAAAAAAACGCACTAAAAACGCACATGAAAACGCACCAAACTCCGGGAAGAAAACGCGCGTGTGACGCGCTTATGCAATACGCACAGGTGTGAACCAGGCCTTAGGGTCTTTGCTGATAGCGTAGCTGGAGTAACAGGATATAGTCACTTGTTCAGATGCAATAAACCTTTTGCTGTAACTCTTGCAAAGTGTCAACATTATAGGACTCGTGACCAGTAGATTAGCCTCTCAGGATTGGCAATACAACAGGCGCCCTTTACTATAACTTGGATGTGTAGCAAAATCTTAGCTCTTTTCGTCATTCTCTAAAAGCAATATGGCAGACTCACAGAACTTTGCAGACACATCCAGTACTCTCCTGACGGGTAAACTTTCACTTGTTCTGCAGTGCTTGTTCTCAATAGAGAGCTGATTATAGTTTCCCTCTCACTTTCTTTTTTGGAGGATCTAATTTGTTATGGGGTGGGGTTGGCAAGCCAGCAGTGCCATGCATCACCAGGACAATGGGACACCATTACTTTCTTTCTCCTTCTCTCTTTCATGGTGCACTTGGATAATTTTTTATAGCATTTTTTACAGCATAATAGTCCTTCAATTAGAGAGTGTCGCTGTAAGTCCAAGGCAGAAATGGCAACATCTCTTTAAGACCCCTTACACAGGCAGCGGCTTAATTAAGGTCCAGTTCTCTTTACAGCAGTTTTCATACAACACCTCTACATAATTTCATACACAAACATACAGCACCAATACCCACTGTGAAAAAAATGTGTATGTCACTAAAATGGTGATTTGAATTAAAAATCAGTGGCATCCTTGCTAGTAAAGAGAATATTTCACAGCAGTACTTTTTTTTTAACAGACCATTTATTGTGAAGCAGAATACCAAACAATGCTGTTAATTTAGACACAGCAGTGTAGCAGTTGGTCACCACTGTCCATATAATTGCACACCTAACACAATAGAATTCTTCTCTTCAGCACTTCACAATTGCAGGATCAGCATCCTTTAAATGTTCCAAGATCCATTATTACCATATCCCTGTTGGTGTTAATAACCAGCAACATCTGTAATGTAAAAAACAGCAAGTTTATTTGCCAGTAAGAATGGCCACTTAATTAGAATAGGAAAAATACAAGCGGAGCTGTCTCATCTCTTCTGTGCCCACTGCATTGTCATTTCACATTGTAGATATCAGGGAGAAAGGCGTCTGGGTAATTGCATACAGTAATGGCATTTCTATCTCACAATGAATGTAATAAGCAGGAAAAGGAAAGCTTTCTGCATTTTCTTTTAGATGTTCCTACTAAGCTAGGCAGATGGTACAAATTTTAATGACCGTTAAAGGGAGCTTGCTTTTGCAATTATCACAGGCGTTTCATGTGACTTTATATCTGAAGGAAGCTGGAATGTCTTACTTCAAATAGATTTACAAAACCTAACACCTCATTAAGGCTAAAATAAATATTTGCTTGTTGTTATCTACTCCTACCGATTTATAGAATCTTAACTGGGTACAGTAGCGAGTTAGTCTTTCATGTGATTAACAAAGACTTAACTCCTCTGAGAGAGTTTGATTTATCTTTCTGTTTATTTTACATAGCAGCTAGTGTGTGGTAGTGTTTCAACCCAGATACACTTTTGTATTATTTATAGTCTTTCATGTGGAAAGCGACAGAGGTGTGCAAACCGCAATGTTATGGGTCTTATGAATCCTGCTACGTACATAAAGCTACATTTTTTGTGACACGGATCTCAGCTGTATAGCAGAACGTTGGACACATTTTTTCTTAACCCTTGCAGAGGGGCTACCCCCGCACTGCAGGAGTTAAGTACTTGTTTTTGTCTAGGTGCTAAAAAAGTTATCTGAAGGATGCTTAGACTGCTGCAGCGGAGGGGGGAGAGAGGCTCCAGAGACCGGTCTAAGGGCAAGGCAGATCCGGTGTTTTGCTGACCATAACCTTTTTTTAGCACCTAGACAAATATGATCATGCAACCCTTGCAGTCAGGGGGTAACCTCACTGTAGGGGTTAAGAAACATTTTTTTGCCCGGAGTTCTGTTTTAACTTACATAACTGTGTTCGGTCACCTATTAATGCCGCAGCAGTTAGCAGAGGTTGTCATATGCACACAGTGGGATATGTAATATTGAGAATGAAGATGAGTAAATAGGGCTGAACTGCTGTTAAGATGTGATATTTTGGGGGGGGAGGGGGGCAGTTCAAAAAAAAAGCTAGCATAAGGGAAGCTGGACTGTAGATAAATATCTCAAAGGGAGAAGAGGAGGTAATGTGTATATTTTTAATCAGGAGAGAGGATTAATCCTGCGGAACAGTTATTATTTACCCTAATATTAGATCCAAATTCCTTCCACAAAATAGTCACATTGGATTGCAAAACCTCCTCTATAACTGTTCTACCATCTTTTTAATAAGATGTGGTTCAGAAGGTGTCAGATATTTCCCAGCATTAATAGCCAGTTAGCATCTTGCCATTGAGTTATGAATTTATTTTGGTGCCTTATGGGCTATATTTAAAAAGCAAGGCCACTTACAGATCAGTAGGACCTGCTGGAAGACTCTAGCATGTGCCAGACAATAGAACACAGTTGACCGGAGCTAGCTGTCACTGTAAGCTCCGTCCCATTTCTAAAAAAAAATATTTATATTTTTTATTAATCTTCCTATTTTTAAAATCATTTTGCAAGCAGAATAGCCGAGCCAAATACAGCTCAGCTGCATTCTGCTATTCACTGACTGCCTTTCAGCCCCTATGGGAATGAGCGAGTGAGCTGCTGGATCTTGGATCGGCTGAGTCGAAGTCTTGCTGGATCTTGGATCGGCTGAGTCGACCAGATGTTGGATCGGTTGAGTCGAAGTCCTTCTGCAACAAGCTAGATGGTCAGCATGGCACCCAGGGACAACTAGCACTGTACGAATGAGAATTCATAAAGGCAGCTGCCATGTTTCTCCCAGGAAAAAAAATGCTACTAATCTGGCTTTCATGCTGATCCTGTAACATCAATAATTTGAGGCTTTAACATGGAACATGTGTGCAGATTAGGAGACATGACTTAGTTTCTAATCTAGATCCTTCTTCTTGGTCAGTAACTCAAAAAGGCAAAGGCGACCAAGGAATTAGCATTCTTAGAGAAAGGTCAACAATGGGAGCCTCCTTATTTCTCTCACTACAGCTTTCATTGAGTCCAATACAAAAAAGTTCGGTCAAAAGTAAATTAGAAAACTGAAACCATCAAAATTGGTTTAGTAGACCAGGATTTGCTACAAGATACAGAAGAAAATTGTTTGTTCTATCAACTAGTAACTATTCTAGTCTGCTCCCTGATGAAAGGGAACCTGTTGAACCTCCAAACGCGTTAGCTTTAACTGAATGTGAGTTTAAAAAAACCTTCTGAAATTTACAATACAAGTCTAGTGCATACCTTCTTGAAAGCTACTGCATTTGAAACAGATAGAGTTTTAAATAAACCCATACATGTTACCCTATATTGTTAACAGTTGTGCTAAAATCTGTTCATGGTGAAGCAGCTTTTAGGGCTTAAAACATTCAAACATTCTGGTTTAATGTTACAGTGTCTCTCAAACGTAGGAAAAAGCTAAAAGGAACACTCATTAATAGAGTAGGAAAGCACCAGTATCTCATTTAGTTCCCAATTTCGTTTTCCTGTCAGGGACTCAGTGCCCACTCCACTACATGTTCTCATTATGCAGGAAACTGCGCAAAGTCATTTGCTGTGTGAGTCACATCAGATCTCATTCATTTTAATCAGGCTGGGGATGAAATACAAAGTACCAAAAGAGCTGTGTTCTATTCTATACCATATGTGTACAGCAGTCATTGCAAATCATTTTATGTTATCACAGTCCAGGACTATGGTAATCAATATGCATACTTCTCTGTGCCTTTGTGATTTTAGTCAACAACATTGGATAGAATTCATTTCAGTTGTATTCACAAAGGATCATTTATTTCCAGTCTTTTCACTCTTTGTAAGCTTCAAGCATGAGAGATATGCGGATGGCATCAGGGCACTGTTATAATGTGAAAACATTAGGTTATGAATATTTAAGGTTTCCGTACCACACATGGTGTCTAACTGCTATGGGATCGGCTTACTGTGACTTGTTATCTTTGCCATTAACATGAAAAAGATGGTGCAGACTTGTATTTTTACAGAACTGATATATGCTTAAAGTGCTGCTTTAAGTACATCTAAGCTGCTTCCAGTAGTATAATGCAGTCAGCTGCAGCAGAAGAAACGCAACAAATCTAGAATTGGGCTACAGACCAATAAGCATGTTCCTATCCCTGTGTTTCAAGTATGTTATGGAAAATGCAGCCTGCAGGAATTTTACTATATCATTGTATTTTTGGGAGATCCTAGTGATTATGGTTTTTATTTAACTTTTAAAGACTGCAGTGACTGAATAAAGGTTGGGAAACACTCACTTGGAGGACAAGAAACAGTATTGTCCCCATTTGTTATTGTATCCAACAAGCTCTACCCATTTTAATCTAGGAGGCCTTTTTTTTTTAGGACCCTAGCAATGCTCTAGCAGACAGCATTCCTCAGAGAGCATACTATTACCATTTGTATCATGTAAATTTGGCATGACAGCCCCTTCACTTATGTTACCTTGTGAAGCCATTTACATCCTTGTTTCAGGCTGCAAATTGATTTCCTATTTGGAATATATGTGTTGATACTTTGTATTGTTTCTTCATGTGGTCTCAGTTTTGGTGGCCATTGAACAATCACCTGTGGGTATTTTTTTTCCAGTCACTGTGAGCTTCATGGTTTACACAGATTCATGTACATATACACAAACACACCCGTATAGAATGTTTTGCATAAATATTCACCCTTTTAAACTTTTCCACATTATATAGTGCAACTATTTGAAATTAAAATTAAAATGTAATTCTTACCATTTATATAACATACCTAATGCTTTTATGGTGCACTTAAAATCTAAAAGAAATGTAAAAAAGACATCTTGCAATTACAGAATTCAATTCATTCAACTGCCTGCCAGTTTACATATCATGGTGCTGCAGTTTTTGCCCATTTTTCTGGGTTTCTCTAGATTTGTCAGACTGGCTGGGGATTTCTGGTGAATAGCAATGTTTGAGTCTAGTTACATATTCTTAGTTGGATTGAAGTCTGAGATTTGACTGAGGCATTCTAAAACAATCTATGTAGCTCTGGCTGTTTGTTTGATGTCTTTGTCCTGCTACAAGGTTAACCTCCACCTCAGTAGCAGGTCTCTTCCATCCTGAAAAAAGTTTACCTCTAGAATATTCTTATTTCACTCCATTCATCTTGCCCTCAGTCTGGACCAGTTTTCCATCCCTACTGGTGGAAAGTATACTTTCCTGTGAAGATGGATAATATGCAGTGGAAAGTTTGATTTTTGCCTCATCAACAGAGAAACTTTTTGTACATCTTTGCTTTGTATCCCACACACTCTCCAGCAGGCTCCTGATTTGGTTTGAGTTTCCATTGACATCTTGATTGCTTCCTTGAATAATGTCCTCATCTTATCCTAGTAGACAGCTTTCTAAAGGCATCTGTGCCTTAATGTTTTCTTCCTTAATAATGGGTTTAAGGGTGCTACATGGGATTTTTATAGGAGGAACTGGCTGTTCAATTCCTTCCAGGTTTTCCAGACTATAGTGGGATGGGATCTCCAGTCCTGGGGCCAGGTGTTGCAAGTTGCCAGGTTGAGCTGATCAGGTGGCTGAAAGTTTAGCGCTTACCATTGTGCTATATTCCCCAAACTATCACAATATATATGTATATTTATACATACATACATACATACATATATATGTATGTATATATAAATTATGTATACATTATAGTATACTATTTATACTACAGCTGCCGCTAATATTTAAAAAATCATATACAATTTTTTACGTCTTCTACTGCAAAACAATTAGAAAGCTGTAACAATTAGAAAGGTGTAACTTAAAGCCAAACTCTGTCTAAAATCTAATTTTCTTTATGTCTCCTAAAAAGTTATCTTTAGCTCCTAGGTTGCTAAAGCTAAATATAATTGCATCTGGTTTATTCATGTTTTCAGTATAGCTGAATACAGTAATTCAAACGGCAGACAAGATTAAGTTAAAACATGACATGACCTCTTGGAAAAAATTTTTTACATGTATTTCCATTGAGATTTATTAGAAAATGTATGCAGCAAATATAAGAGCTATAACTATAATTACATATGACCCCCCTTTCCCCAGCTTCAATGGTGGCAGTGTTAAGATTAAGCCCTAATTCTCACAGGAATCGGCCCGCACGTACAGCTCTGTGCTGCGTGTAAGGCCGTACCGAGCAGCTCCCGGGAAGGACAGGTGCTGCGTGTGATTAGTATGCAGCCCCCGTCTTTCTCTATGGGACTACGCGGCCATACGCCCCCCTACGCTCACCCGCCCTGCACGTCCGTGCGGGTGCGGATAAGCATACTCGTAAGCTGACAGGATGGATCCTGTCTGCATCCAAGGCAGGAAACACGCACACCTACGGACCTGCATCTGAGGTGAGCGTAGGGGGGCGTATGGCCGCGTAAATGAGGGCTTATATACCATGTCCCAGATTCAGTGGTGGGGTACTAGTATGCATTGTGCACAAACCCCCAGGCCCTCCACTGCTCCCAGTATAATGTTGGGTGTGGTCAATGCCTAATTTCTCTTTAACAAGGTAAAGACTTACTAAAATTCATATTGACAAGCCACAATGCTTCTGGAAGAATTTACTTTGGACAGTTGAGACAAAACATTAGCTTTTTGGCAAGTCACATCATCCTTACATTTACCAACAAAAAAAATAAGCTTTCAAAGAAGAGAACACTATAGTGGAATTGTGGTGCAAAATGTACTGCCCTGTGTCAGAAATCTCTATCTCAGTCACAGGTCATGGGTCCTCCAACAGAATAATGACCCAAAACGCCCAGCTAAAAGCACCCAAAAATGGTAAAAACTCAACATTGCACTATTCTGAAGTGGCCTTCTATGAGTTATATTCTGATTCACATCAAACATGAATTGAAATAGCTGAAACATGCAGTCTGGAGAAGGTACCCTTCTGCTTGAGCTCTTTGCTCAAGAAAGTGGGCCAAACTATCTGTTGGCATGTGCAGAAGTCTTATTGAGAGCGACAGAAATCGCTTATTTGGAGTGATTTCTAAAGGTTGTACAAAATATTAAATACCAACATATTTGTCCATGTTTGTAAAACTTTTTTCAGGGGTTTCCTGATATTTTGAAATTATTTTAGGGTTTGAGAAAGGCTGTTCTAGAAAATGGCTAACCATTGTTCAGCTTACATTTGTCAGAAGCAGATCACCCCAGTACAGTAGCCTTATCTTCAGTGATCACAAATAATGCAACTGCTATGGATTTGTACACAGGGGGAGCAAGTGCACATGGAGAAAGAAAACAAATGACCCATAGATCCATCTGACTTCTTAGTGATGTATACAACCCAGTACTGGGACAAGGACAAGGCAAATATGTCAAAGTGCCTTCCACCCCAAGCTGGGAAAAGGGGAGGGAGGTGCTGCACAGCAAAGATGCCTGAGGAAGGTAGGATAATGCCTGTGTCTCCAAATGTAGTGTCCAGGCAAGAGCAGGCCCCAAAAATTAAATCCACTGCCCATTGGCCCTGGGGTGCTATTTTTTGGTCCAATAAAAATTGCATGTTTTTCATCCAAATGAGCTTGGCCCAGTGTGATTTAGTCATAATAAACATGGAACAACAGAGCAAGGTTTTCATTAACATTATAGTAACTAAATATTTTTCTTCAATCTGGGAACTAAAGCAGCAATAGTGCAAATGTTATTCTGCAATTTGTTTCTTTTATAACAACACTGAAATAATTTTTCTGCTACATAGAATGGTAAAGTTATTTATAGCTGAAATAAAGCCTATTTTTTAAAACGTGGGTATTTGTTTTGAATGTGGCTCTACAAAAACAAACAAATGATCTTTTATTGTTGCATGTGATTAACAGCTTTCACATTTTGCAGGCTTTTGAAATTATGAAGGTTACACATGGAAAAGGCCATTCTCTGACTCGGGATTTAACAAAACTGCTCCACGATTGTGAAATGGGCTTGAGATAAACATAAATCAACTTAACTACAATCAGCAGCTACTGTCTTCTTCCACAATCACAATTGTTACTTCAATCTTCCACTGTTTCGTATGTTTTTCGTTTGGTTTTACTGTAACCAAAAACACGACATTTTGATAAAAGAGAAATATGTAATAAAACAAATGCATTTGTGACTTTTTGTGATACCATTTTTTTAGTATTAGGTGCCAGAACACCTGCTACTATGGTCTTTTGACATGTGAATAACTTCATCATATCATCTTCCCTAGCAACCCATTTGCTGCTGGGCCCTGCCCCCTGTTTTTTATTCAGGTGGCCAGACCATTTTTGCTATTTTGCAAGATCTTCCAATTTTTCCAACTGACCCTCTGAATAGAGAAGTGCCTGTCATGAAATTGAGTGATAAAAAGTGGCCCCTCTGGTCGATTTTGGTGGATGATGAGGAATCGGCTATTATCATTACCTGGAAATTCATATAGTTGGACATAATTTGTGTAAACTTGACTTAGAACTTCTTGGTTGTATCTGTCATCTAAACATATTTAGATAAAGGATACAACCAAGAAGTTCTAAGCCAAGCTTAGATGAAATATCTCTGACTGAAATTCATGTTAACAATAACAGCCATTGTGTCAGGGATCAGCTGCCGAGATGATCTGTTACCTGTGGTTCTACATGTTTGTGTGGTTCTACCTCTTTGCTGCTGTGCTTCTGCTGGCACCAATGGTTCTTCAAACATGTGCTGTGCTCTTGACTTGACAGTACTAGCAGTTATGGGCATCGCCTATCTACCCTTAAGCTTAATATACCTTGCCTCTTGGCTTCTTCCTACCCAGTCCCCTATCTCTCTCCTTATTTAAGTCCTGCTCAGACCAGCTCCCTTTGCCTGGACAATATGTCTGTTGCCTCTGAGCTCCCATCTGTGCCTTTGCCCTTCTTCTGTTACCTGTTTTCTTAGATTGAGCTTCTGTGTGCCAACCCCGACTTTGTCTCTGGGATTCGCTCATCTGCTGCCTGGCGGGGTTAAGGCCACGGCAGGGTAGGGGTTAGGTGGGCAACTGGTGGCGAGTAACTCTAAAGGCCTGGCTAGTAGCTCAGGACTTGAAATTTTGACCCTTGTACTACACTACACTTTCTTTTTGTTTCTCTGCCATTTGTCACTTCCACTCTTCTACTTGCAGGCTGGCTGCATGAGATTGCTCACCACACTCATTATATGCATTTAGTTGTTTATTGTTTAGCTTTTGAGACTACTGTTTTATCAGGAAATATACTTTTATATTTTGTATATTGTGTTGTAATGTTTATGGGTGTGGGATAGTAATACTAATTTAAATGAATAAGTACATGTGTAATTTTTGTAATGATATTCTTGGCAATGCACGTGCTGTGCATTGTAACATACAGCATTAAAATAAAAATGAATAGGGTACCTTAATGCAAAGCACAGTAACAAGCAACACAGCGCCAACAGACCCCTTATGTTTCCCCTTTTAGCTGGAGAAAGAGACATCTGCTGAAGCCCAGCACTCTAATACCGAACTAAGAAATACTTAATACTAAGCACTTCCATGTATAGATAGAAAGTGAAAGATCAGTGAACTTATAAGACATGTTCACCTTGAATGAGTATCCCGAAAGAGTAGATTGCAGTAAAAGGGGGAGGCATCAGGGCAGGCATCAAGACACCAGATAAGATATCAGGGGAGCAGAGAAGACAACAGGGAGCAGAGGAGGCATCAGGGAGTGGAGAAGGCATTGTGGGAACTGAGAAAACAATGGGACAGTGGATGGGGGTGTCCACGTCTGCTATGAATCGTCGTGATGGGCAGCCTTTAAGCCAATGATCATGGCCATTCATGAATTGGCAGACTCTCTGCTATGGCTCTGCTATAAGCTCATGGTCACTTTGTGGTTTGCTTGAAGTGTTCAGGCTCTACGAGACCATGGAAGAATATGTTTTTTTTTCCGTTGCCCCCCCCCCACACACCTTTTAAAACAGTATTTGGAGTACCAAGAGAACACTACCTAGCATAACATGGGCACTGGATTCACTTGTGCACCCTGCCCCCATATGTATACACCCTCAGTCTAACTTTTTCCTCTACAGCCAGGACAAAGCAAACTGCCCATGGACAAAGTTTAAAATGTTCACAGTAATTTATCACTAAACTGCTACAAGGAAACTACAAGCAAGGGTTATATGAGGTTGACACTATCTAGGGTTCTTTCTGGGGTGAAGCCATGTTTAAATCATATGTTATTGACTTCTTTGCTGTTTTGTCTTTCTCTTCTGTTCATCAATTCATGCAACATTACAAATTATGCATTCTCAAAACATTCTCAAAACATCATGGTCAGGCTTCCTCACTTTATCACTGTTTGAAGTGTAGTGTAAATGTACAAATGATCTTTCACTGATCTTATCACGGTAAGTGATGTGTTACCTGAATGCTGATCTCCTTTTGTACAAGTTCTGTCCCTTTTGCACTTATAATATTTTAGTGAAATCTATTGCAATAATGCATTGTGTAGGTAGTATTTACACTACTTTATATGCAATACAAAAACTCCCCAACACTCCATTTAATCAAAATGTTTAAAATAGAAAAGAAAAAACATCTAGTGAGCATCAGGTCTGCAGATGGAAATGCATTTTTGATTTGAAAGGTCAGAGGAGAATGGCCAGACTGGTTCAACCTGCTCATTTCTGGTACAAGAAACTCCCGTAATTGGTCTCAGCTATTGAAAGGTGGCAAAAGAGCCCATAATGGCTCTCATACTAGGAAGACTGATCATCATTATTTGAAGATATGGCTAATATTTCGTTAAATATACTAAATAAGTAAAAATGTTATACAATTTTTTACTCTTGGTATACTACCCACTTACACATAGAAAGCTATTTCCACGGCAGAGGACTTTACCCGCTGTTAGTGGACATGCACAATGGTCCATGGCTTTTGGAAACTGATATTTCACCTGGTATTTAAATTCTCAGATACATGAACTCCCCTTCCCCAAAGACCCATGGTTGTCTTTATTTTAAAAGTGATGGTTTCACAATAAACAATTTGCCCATCATATTAGGAAAATAGTCATAATCTATTTCTGTTGTAGTGAAGAGAGATAAAGTAGGACTAGAATGAATCAAAGGTTACATTTTAAAAGACATTGAAGGGAATTTATCAAAACTGGAGCAGACAAAATCTGGAGCAGCTGTGCATGGCAACCAATCAGCTTCACTCTTTAATTTTCAAACCTTAACTAAACAATCTGAAGAGAGAAGCTGATTGGTTGCTATGGGCAACTGCTCTAGATTCTGTCTGCTCCAGTTTTGATAAATTCCCCTCCCAATGTATGTCAGAGAGAATAAAAATTGAGGTCCTTCCCCTTTTGTTGTCAGATGCCACCATCTATGTTATAGATAACACCCCAAAATCAGGATTGCTTTAATTGCTTTACCTTTAGGAATGGCCCTGCAGTAGTATGTTGGTTTTTCTGTGCCCACTGTTTTCACAGTTTTCAGGTGCTAAAAACAAAAATGTTACAAATAAAGTGTGTGTCCCTGTGTCCTTACTAACCAGCTCCTTAAGATGACCGCACTATTTAACCCTTGGCAGGTCCAGCTGGTTGAACCTCCTTCCTGTCCTCTTCTCTCCATGCACCTGTTGTCACAAGTTGCACTCAGATCTCCTGACACAGGCTTGAGTGGCGTGATCTGGATTGATCTGCTTGCCTGTTGAACCATCCACTTGTGCTAGCACTTTTCTGGCTGGCAGTAGCAGGATTTCATAGTGGTGGTGCAGAGATACAGCTAAACACAGTTTTGGACTTGGCTGGCTGCAGTTTTTTTTTTATTGCAGCTTCCCCATCCAGATCTCTGTCAGACAGCAGCTGGAGTTATGTGCACAGCTCTCTCACTCCGAACCTTATCTGTCACTTATCAGAGAGCTGGTAGAAAAAGTGTCTCACTACTCCTCCTACTTCCTCTGCCGCCTCTTTGATAAGTGACAGATGGGACTCAGGAGGTAGCAGGAGGGCAGATCTGTCAAGGCATTCACATTTGTCTGGAGTCACCTCATCTTTAATCTCTTCTCTTGTTCTAGTTTGGTTATTTAATGCCTCCAGGACTTTTGCTGTAAGTTTATTGTGTGTTCCCATTCACGCAGCATACCAAAAAAATATTGTTTATTGCTTTTTAGCTGTTTCTTTGGAGCAGGATTATACATAACACACCATAGGCAAGCTTCTACTGCCATGAATAGTGTGCAGATAAAGGGACAGGCAATGGAACAATTATATATAAAAAGCATAAACATACAATGTCTTGAGATCTTTAACCCATAATTAGGACAGTCCTGCATAACTAGTTTACAACTGAAAACGGAGATCACCAGCACAGTACACACAGGGTTAATTATAATAAACACAATTGCCCAGCCCCCGCATAAACAGGGAGAACTAAGTGGAATATTTGAGCCCTGGAGTTTTCAGCCTCTAAAAAGGTAAGCTGCATTTTTTAAGTTATGCTCTATGAATGGGAACACATAACAAATGTAAAGTAGGTGTCATCCCAATTTGGCTGCAAAAATGGAAATACACTTTAACTCGCCCCATAATTCATGTCACCAGCCCCTTCCATGTATACACTAGTTGGAATCACGTGGAGTAAAAATAAGCTGCTGAATGAAACTTGGAGAAGGGCAGTGTCTGATGGCTGCTATACACAAGCAAAGGAAACAAAACATTGGTGCTTGCCCCCAGCCAGATCTCTCTAGTGCAGAATTTATAGGTCTAGGGAAGGCATTAGGGCAGGTGATTGATAGAGTTGTAAATCACAAGCCTTGCTATACACATATTACCTTACAAACTATATTTAATAGCTATTGCACTCCCAAACAAGAGACTTACTTCCCCCATACCCTTACTAGTAAAAATAGCAGTCTTTTCCTATTTTCCTGGACAGCACATGGGATGGGGATGTGGTGAGGATGTGGACAGTAATAACTTTTTGTTTAAAAACAAAACTATAAGTTTTTA